GGCTCTTCGGAGAGCCCCAGAGGCTCTCCCGAGAGGCTGTTCGCTGGCTTCGGAGAGCCCCAGAGGCTCCTCCGAGAGGCTCTTCGGTGATTTCGGAAAGCCCCAGAGGCTGTCTTCCGAGAGGCTCTTCTATGAAGGGGGGGGAGGAGCCTCTTTGGAGACCCCCCCACCCTTCACCGTACTCGTTGATTAATACCCTCCGGGGGGAACCGGCCATACTAATACCCACCGGGCCGCACTAACAACCAACGGGCCGCAGTAACACCTTATCTCGGAGGAGGAAGGGTGGGCTCGGCCCCTATGGGCTGGCCCTCCAAGCGTCTCGGCCCCTCGAGCGGCTTGCGGCCCTGCCCGGGAAGCTGGGCGTGGCAATTGCTTCACGCTGGGCGCTCTCGCCCGGCTTCGGGCTCCGGGACTGTGACGAAATCAATCGGGCTCGAGAAGTGCCGCAGAAAGTATAGGGTCTGCGGTGGAGACCCATGCCACGAATTGCTCTGCTTGCCTCCAGGGTGCCCTGGGTTTCTTGGGTTTCGATGGTCTTGCTGTGGAAGCCGTGGCGCTCCCACACCAAAAGCCGATGGACGTCCTGGGGTCTCAGGGTTGGATTTCTTGTGAAAGGTTTCTTGTGATCGGGCCCCTACTGTAGGACTCCGTGCTTTGCGCGTCCCTTGCGTCGTGAAAAATACGCGGCGGAAAGTTTTTGGCGATTTTCCGTCCCTGGGGGCCCTCACCGGGCTCCTCGACCGTTAACAATCGGCTCAGGATGAAGAACTGGTCCTAGGGAAAAGGTCCACCAGACCTCTGGGGACCCACGTTCTCAAAAAATCAAGACGTCGGTGGTCTGGGCAGCGCGGAGGACCGACGACGGTCGAACGTCCAGGTTCGACCTCCCAAAGTTTTTCTCGCTTTCGGCCTCTGGGGGCCGTTCAAGGACCCCGGGACCATCCCAGAGGGGTTCTGGAATCGTCCGGGAACGGCCGCCGGAGGCCCGAGTTGTGGCCCGAAAGCCAGATCCTGGTAGTTCGAATTTCGCAGACATCCGCGCGGTTCAATTTTTCCGATGCGTGGCCCCCGGGTGTCCCAGGAGGCGTGGACAACTTCTTCCCCAGGGCCGTTTTTCCGTCTGGGTCGGTTTTTGACGGTCCATGGGCCCAGGACCGGCGTCCAGAGGCCGAAAATGACTCCGAACTGGCCGCTCTTATTTTTTCGGAGCGCCGGATCTCTGATTACTGGCGGCTCGATCTTCGAGGTTCTTGGTTTGTGGACGTTTTTCGCCCTCGTCGGGCTTCCCGGCGGGGGCCCGAGAAGGGCATCTTCGGGCTTATGGGGGCCTATCCGGCGCTGTTTCGTCTCAAGCCGGTCCTGAGGTCTTTCTCGGGATGCGACGGTCAAATGCGAATGGTCAGTGCGACCTCCCTCCACTGGTGCCGGGCCTGACATACACGCAGGTTGTATTGCTTATGAGCGACGGCGTCGCCGTGACATGCTGCAACAATGATGACAGTCTGTGCGACGTCCCCGCGCTGTCCGCGGATCTGACCTACACGCAGGTTGCCGCTGGATTGTGCAACACCGTTCTGCTCAGGAGCGAGGGCTCTGCCGTGGCGTGCGGTAGAAATACTGGTGGTCAGGGCGATCTCCTTCAGCTGGTTCGGGACCTGATGGACACGCAGGTTGTCGCTGGGTTCTGCAACACCGTTCTGCTCAGGAGCGAGGGCTCCGCCGTGGCGTGCGGTAGAAATACTGTTGGTGAGTGCGATCTCCTTCAGCTGGTCGTGGACGTGACCTACACGCAGGTTGTCACTGGATTGTGCAACACCGTTCTGCTTAGGAGCGAGGGCTTCGCCGTGGCGTGCGGTACGAATACTGGTGGTCAGTGCGACCTCCCTCAGCTGGTTCGGGATTTGACCTACACGCAGGTTGCGGCTGGAGTGTGCAACACCGTTCTGCTCAGGAGCGAGGGCTCCGCCGTGGCGTGCGGTAGGCATTCTGTTGATCAGTGCGACCTCCCTCAGCTGGTCGTGGACCTGACCTACACGCGAGTTGCCGCTGGATTGTGCAACACCGTTCTGCTCAGTAGCGAGGGCTACGCCATGGCGTGCGGTAGGAATATTGGTGGTCAGTGCGACTTCCCTCAGCTTGTCGTGGACGTGACCTACATGCAGGTTGTCGCTGGATTGTGCAACACCGTTCTTCTCAGGAGCGAGGGCTCCGCTGAGGCGTTCGGTTGGAATACTGTTGGTCCGTGCGACCTCTCTCAGCTGGTTCGGGACCTGATGTACACGCAGGTTGTCGCTGGATTGTGCAACACCGTTCAGCTTAGGAGCGAGGGCTCCGCCGTGGCGTGCGGTAGGACTACTGGCGGTCAGTGTGACCTCTCTGAGCCTGTCGTGGACGTGACCTACACGCAGGTTGCCGCCGGACTTCACTACCCCGTCCTGCTCAGGACCGACGGCGTCGCCGTGCTATGCTGCTGGAATGATGACAGTCTGCGTGACCTCCCCGCGCTGTCCGTGGATCTGACCTACACGCAGGTTACCGCTGGATTGTTCAACACAGTTCTGCTCAGGAGCGAGGGCTCCGCCGTGGCGTGCGGTATGGATACTGTTGGTCAGTGCGACTTCCCTCAGCTGGTCGCGGACGTGACCTACTCGCAGGTTGTCGCTGGATCGTGCAACACCGTTCTGCTCAGGAGCGAGGGCTTCGCCGTGGCGTGCGGTAGAGATAGTGCCTATCAGTGCGACCTCCCTCAGCTGGTCGTGGATCTTTCCTATACGCAGGTTGTCGCTGGATTGTGCAACACCGTTCTGCTCAGGAGCGAGGGCTACGCCGTGGCGTGCGGAAGGAATACTGGAGGTGGGGGCGACCTCCCTCAGCTGGTCGTGGGCATGGCCTTCACGCAGGTTGTCGGTGGATTGTGCGACACCGTGCTGCTCAGGAGCGACTTCTCCGCCGTGGCGTGCGGCAGGGATACTGGTGGTCAGTGCGCCCTCCCTCAGCTGGTCCTGGACCTGACTTATACGCAGGTTGCCGCTGGACTTCACTACCCTGGCTTGCTCAGGAGCGACGGCGTCGCCGTGCCATGCGGCTGGAATGATGACAGCCTGCGCGACCTCCCCGCGCTGTCCGTGGATCTGACCTACACGCAGGTTGCCGCTGGATTGTGCAACACCGTTCTGCTCAGGAGCGGGGGCTCCGCCGTGGCGTGCGTTAGTACTTCTGGTGGTAAGTGCGACCTCCCTCAGCTTGTCCCGGACCTGACCTACACGCAGGTTGCCTCTGGACTGTTTCCAGCTGCCTCCGGCAAGTTCCGCCACCGTGCCAGCTCAGCACCATGAGTTGCAGGATGATGACCGTGATGGTGTGGGTGATGACGATGATACCCGTGGCATTATGAGGAGGATGATGGAGATGATATTGAGGAGGAGCAGGAGGATTGGCGGACATGCGGACGAATCGCATGATAACGACGACGATGATGAGGATGACGCTGTCGATGAGTAGAATGATGATGATGATGATGATGATGATGATGATGATGATGATGACGATGACGATGACGATGAGGATGAGGAGGCCGACGACGATGCTCACGATGATGATGACGATAATGATGACGATGATGCCGACGACGACGAGTGGGAGGAGGAGGAGGGGGGGGAAACGTGGAGGCATCCGAGGAGGAGGAGGAGGGGGAGGGGCAGGAGAGAGGAGGGAGGAGGAGGAGGCGTGGGCGGATGAGGAGGAGAAGGGTATGGCGGATAATGGCGATGACGTGACTGTTGCTGTTGATAACGAGGATGATGATGATGATGATGATGATGATGATGATGCTGATGATGATGATGATGATGATGATGATGATGATGATGATGATGGTGGTAGTGGTGGCGGCGGCGGCGGCGGTGGTGGTGGTGATGACGATGATGATGATGATGATGATGATGATGAGGCGGAGGTTGTGGAGGAGGGGGAAGCGTAGGAGGTCAAGGAGAATAACGCCTTGAAAGGCGAAAAGGTTCTCCGAAAGTTGTTTGGCGGCCTCTGGAACCGTGAGGGGGCCTGTATGTGGTCCCAGGGGTCTCTCGGAATGTCTTGGGTGGGCCGTGGAAGCTCTGGGAGCCTCTTACGAATCTCTTGGAAACTTCTCGGAGAGCTCTTGGGTGCCTCTTAGAGCCTCCTGTGCGCCTTTTTGCACTCTGGGGGGACGCTTGTGGGATCCTTGGAAGCTGGCTTGGGCCCACGTTCAAGGAGATCCATCAGGGTCCTCTTGAGCTCGATTCGCGGCCTGTTGGGGCGTGCTGGAGCTGTCTTGGGGCCGAGGGCCCGACATTTTTGTGCGGGTCCTCCGTTTGGGCCTCCTGTTGGATCCGTCTTGGGAGCCTCTTGAGCCGTCTTGTAGGTCTTTGAGGCCGTCTTGGAGCCCTCCTGGGCCATCTTGGGGCCGTCTTCGGAGCCTCTTCGGACGTCTTGGTCCTGGAGGTCTCTGCGGCGTCGTCGAGCGTTGGGAAGCCGAAAACGCAAAAACCTCGAAAACCTTGAAACACCAAAAGAAAATCAATAATGTTTGCCTCTTGCGGCCCTCTTGGGAGGCCTCATGGAGGCATGTTGGAGCGTCCTGGCGGCTTTTTGGGCCGTCTTGTAGCCGTCTTGTGCGTCTTGGGCCGATCATTCATTGGCTGGGGGCCTTCTCGGGCCGTCTGGAAGGCCTATTGGGGCCCTCATGGACTTCTTGGGGGTTCCCGGGAGCTCCGGGGAATCCCAGGAAGTCCCAAGCGTTCCCAAGAGTTCCCGGGAGTTCCCGGAACTCCCCGGGAAACCCGGGGTCTGGGTCTTATAAACCCTTTCAACCCTTCGAACTCTCAAGCATGCACGTCTGCATGGGCCTTGAGCTTCGACTACGTGCTGAGGGCACGGTGGCGGACCTTTTTATTGCGACAGTGGCGGTCCCGCCCACATGTTTCTCGGTCTTGGTGAGGCTCTTATCAGGCAAGCACGTTGTGCTGGCCGTCGTGGACTGTGACACTATTGGCAGCATGAAGATGCAGATATATGATAAGACAGGAATCCCTCCACAATATCAGCGCCTTGTGTTGTCAGGGCGCGAGGTGGACGATTTTCAAACCCTTTTGTATTACACTGTCCGAAGGGATTCCGTTTTCTACCTCACTGCGGGCCTCCGTGGTGGCATGGACGCAGGTGTACAATCATCGGGAGCCAGGGCGGCATCGCCAGAAGCGGCATGTGGGAGCGATGCGCCTGTGCAGTTCGGTGACACGCCAGTCGGCCGATTTCTGAATCCTTGTCGCTTCGCGTACCCCCACCTGCCTATTCAGAAACTATCCCCTGATAGCTGACAGGAGAAGGGAATCGGAGACACTCATATTGAAACAGCGCGGGCAACACGGGTGAACTCTGAGAGCTCTGGGAGCACATGGTGTCGGTTCTGCTGGTGTTGGAGGTGCTGCTGATGTTCATGCTGCTGCTGATGTTTGGGCTGCTGATTTCATGAGTGCTGGTGCTGCAGGGGCTTCTGCTGTTGCTGGGTCTCCTATCGATGCTGCTGCGAGTGCGTTTGCTGTTCATGCCGTTGTTGCTATTGCTTGTGGTGGTGTTGGTGCCTCTGCTGGTGGCGGTGTCGGTTCTTCTGGTGATGCTGCTTGTGGTGGCTCTGCTGGAAGTGGAGTTGTTGCTGGGGCCATCTTGGGGGTAAAGGCAGAGGAGGAGGAGGAGGAGGAGGAGGAGGAGGAGGAGGACGACGACGAGGAGGATGAGGAGGAGGATAATGAGGAGACGGAGGAGGAGCAGCAGGAGGTGCCGAAGGAGCAGCAGCAGGAGGAGCTGGAGGAAAAGGAGCAGCAATGCGGCACGAGGAAGATGAGTAGCAGGAGGGAACATGCAAGAATGGAGGAAGGAAGGAGAGAAGAAAGGGGGTTTAACAGAGGGGCTGCTCCAGACCATTGACGCCCCAAGGGGCTGATCGGATTCCCCATGCCTGTGGCAGTTGCGGAAACGTGGCCCAACTGAGAGAGCGCTGGAATTGAAACGAATTCGTGGGCAACTGGAATGTTCATACTGCGACCAGTTGCTTGTGACCGAGCGGCCTAAGAAGAAAACGCATACTTACCGGGAGGGTTGTATTGAGTGGAGAAAGGTCACCGCCAGGGACCTGGCCGACGCGGCCGCGTGGTCATCCTCGAGTTCGAAATCATATCCTGCCGGCGAAATCGCAGTGGACAGGATCGCGATGCTAGCCGAGTCCTTGGATCCTGCGAGCATAGATGCTCTCGTCACGCGGTTGAAGGTCATAAGTGATGCCAAGAAAAAGTTTGTTCCGCAGGACGCAGAGGATTCCCCCGGATTGGGCGGGCGTGGGTTTCGCACTGACTTCGACACGCCTTTGACGATCCTGACGGACGCCCAGATGTTACACAAGGATTTTGTGCCACGGTCGACGGTGCCGCGGGAGGTCGGCGCGCTTTCTGTGCGAATAGGGGAGCCGCAGTGGTGGGGGATTGATACGTTCGCGTCACGGGTCGCCGCGATGGTCGAGTGGTTCGACCGGCGGGATCTCGTATCGGCGGCGTTTTTGGACGCGAAGCAAAAGGAAGCGCTGTCCAAGGACATGTGTCTCGTTGCGCGAGTGAACAGGCGGTGCCGCGACGACACGCCATCGTCCCAATTTGCGTACCGACACTACCGGACGCACGTCAGACCCGACGATGACCTTCTTCAGCAACTTGTGCAGCTCATGGTGAACATTTTCATCGTTCGGAATACTCTGTCCCACAGCGTGCGGGAGGACCTGAAAGCTGGTACGTTCGTGTGGGCCCAGGTCTCATTGGAGACGGGCGACGTCACAAATCTGAATGACCTTTTCACGTATTACGCATCGGTGAAAGGCGACGTCTTCGGGACCTTTGTGAATCCGATGCGCCTCCGTAAAGAGATGAAGTTAGAAGGGTTCCATGTGTTTATCGCGGAATTGCAGATGTTCTCTCGTAGAATTCGCGCTCCCTTGCAGGAGCTCGCGTCCTCGTGGGATTTGGCGCATTTCTTTCGCGCCTTGCAGGGCATTCCGGGGCATGGTGGCTCCGGGTTTCGGGCGAAGGAGCTCCTCTCGGACTTCGTGGCCACGTTGCCCGTGCTCGCGCCGCGCATCGGCCCAGTCAATGTTGACTCCGTGACTGCGGCGTTCCAGAAAATTCGCGTTATTGGCGTGGGCCCGTGCCGGACGGCGAATTTTTTGCTGAACCGGCCTTTCTTCCTCAACGAGGAGGCGAAAGCTGCAGACAAGGAAGACGAATACCTCAATGCTTTGACGTTCATCGTCGAGTACCTTCGCAAAAAGTACAAATCGCAGTACGCCCATCGGTCCTTTCTCGACATATGCTACGAGCTATGCGAATACAATAAGCAACTTCTCAGCGTGTACCTGAATAAGGGGAAGCCCTACTCGCCCACCTCTTACAAGGAAGGGAGCGCAAAGCACATGACTCCAGCGGCAGCTCGCGCGGAAGGGGCGGCGTTGCTTGAAGCTCATCAGCGCCGTGAGCGGTGGTTCACGCTGTCTTGTCAGAAGTGGCTCGAGGTGACAGAGTACGAGATGCGCGGGCTGTAGGGCCCGCCGCAGATGTATCCAGCTGCCTGCGGCAAGTCCCGCCGCCGTGCCAACCCATGTGTTTGGGCGGTCTGCGCGCGGGTACGCGCGGATGCCGTAAGTTGTGGACTGTTGCCTCCGTGAGACCCCGTTCCCTGGTGTTTCGGTATGGAGTTCTGGGAACTCGAAGACCACGCAGTGGCTTACAGTTGGCTCCGGGCATTCAAAATGTGGCCCGGGATTTGAGTTCGGAGAACTCAAAGAGCACGAAGTTGTTTACAGTGGGCTCCGAGCATTCACAATGTGGTCCGGGAATGGAGTTCTGGGAACTCGAAGAGCACGAAGTGGCATACAGTTGGCTCTGGGCATCCAGAACGGGGTCCGGGCATGGAGTTCTGGGAATTCTCAGAGCACGAAGTGGCCTACTGTTGGCTCTGGGCATTCAAAATGTGGCCCGGGAATGGAGTTCCGGGACCTCGAAGACCACGAAGTGTGTCACTCTCTGCTTAAAACGGGCTCCTGCGGCATTCCCCGGATCCCGCCCAGACCCCCTTGGGGAGCCATGATGCTCTTTTTAGACGCTATTAGAAACCTATCAGTCTTCGCTGGTAGGTAGTATGTTCCCCAATCAGAGCTTGCCTCTGTAGGGGCCCTAGCGTATTTAAGGGTTAGGTAGGTGAGGCCACCGATTTCGGTGGCCGGGCCCGGGTGCTCCGGTTCCCGGGGGTGCTCGGGTGCCCGGGTGCCCGAGTGCCCGGGGTATCCCGGGTGCACGGATGCCCGGGGGTGCCCGGGGGTGCCCAGAGGTGCTCGGGGGTGCCCGGGTGTGCTCGGGTGTTTTATATACGCCAGCCCTATAGCCCTATCGCCCTGTAGTCCGATAGCCCCATAATAGTCCCGTAGCCTTATAGTCCCATACAGCCGTATAAGTAACCCAATATCCCTGTAGCCCTATAGCCCTGTAGCCCCATGGCCCTATAGCCCCAGAGCCCTGGAGCCCTATAGCCCTATAGCCCTATGGACCTATAGCCCTATAGCCGTACAGACCAACAGCCCAATAGCCCTGTAACCCCATTGCCCTATAGCTTTATAGCCATAGTGCCCTATAGCCTTACAGAACTATAGCCTTACAGCCCTACATCCCGACAGCCCTATAGCCATACGCGCGTAGCCCTATAACCCTATAGCCCCATAGCCCTATAGCCCTATAGCCCTATAGTCTTGTAGCCCTATGGCCCTATGGCGCTATTGCCCGGTAGCCCTACAGCCCCATAGCCCTAGAGCCCCAGAGTCCTATAGCCCTATAGCCTTATAGCGCAATCGCTCATAACCCTTCTGAATGGAGTGCGAGATAAGCTCACATGGGAGGGCGTTCCCCATGGTCTTCGCACGCCATGTATACGGGAAGTAGGGCGAGGAGGAGAAGGAATACGATGGAGATGATGATGATGATGAGGAGGAGGAGGAGGAGGAGGAAAAGAGGGAGGACGAGGAGGTGAAGGAGGAGGAGCAGGAGAAGGCGGAGGAGGAGGAGGAGGACGAAGAAAGCACTTGGCACTCTTCCACGCCTCAACGTGCACCTGGCATTTTTACACGCCTCAATGTGCAGACACGGTGGCGGATCTTCAGCAGGACCCTGGGATGACGAAGGCGGGCTGCGATGACCTTAATGAGCTGTGCGCAAAGGTGGGGGGGACCTGCCCGGACCCCGTTCCCCCATGGGGGGACCGGGGCCCCCGGCGGCTTCCAGACGCCGCCAAAATGCTTCCGGACTGCCTCGAGACAGCCCCAGAAGGCCCCCAAGATCGTTCACGAGAGCCCCGAGACGCCCAAAGATCGCTCCAAGATGCCCAAGATGGCCCCAAGACAGCCCAAGAGGCCTCCTAGACGCGCCAAGAGGCTTCCAAGAGGCGCTCCAAGAGTGCCCCAGGAGGCTAAATTCATTGTTTTTTAAAAGGTTTTTGAAAGTTCTTTGGATTCTCGCCTTTTCGGCAACTGGGCGCCCCAAGACGGCCCGAGAGGCCCCCAAGATCGCCCCAAGAGAGCCCGAGACGCCACCGAGACGGCCCCAAGACGGCCCAAGAGGCCCCCAAGACAGCCCAAGAGGCCCCCAAGACGGCTCCAAGAAGCGGCGCGGACGGGGGATCCCCGCGGATTTTTCGGGCTCTCAGCCCCAAGAGGCCTCCAAGAGGCCCCAAGAGGCCCCCAGGAGGCCCCCAAGAGGCCCCCGAGAGGCCCCCGGAGCCCCCGAGAGGCTCCCGAGAGGCTTCCAAGACGCCCCCGGATATCTTGGGCAGGGGAATCTGTTGTTGTGGTTCTGCGTGGGTATATGGGGAAGGGGGAATCTGTTCGCGCTGTGTTTCGAGGGTATCTTGGGGGAGGGGAATTTGTTGTAGCGTGCGTCGTGGCGATATACGAAAGTCCGGTTGTGGGAATTTGTTTTTGTGGTGCTGCGCGGGTATTTTGGGCAGGGGGATGTTGGCGGCGCCGTGTTCCGCTGTTCTTGTGGGAGTGGGGACTTCGTTGTAGCGTGTGTTGTAGTTATACAAGAAAGTCAGGTTGGGGGAATCCATTTGTATGGTGCTGCGTGGATATCTTGGGGAGCGGGAGTATGTTCGCGCGGTGTTTCGTGGATGCCCAGGGAGAGGGGAACTTTTTGTGGCGTGCTTTGTAGTGATATGGGAATCTGGTTGGGGGAATCTGTTTGTGTGGTGCTGCGTGGACATCATGTGGAGTGGGTTTTTTTCGTGTGGGTTTGGGTGGGTATCCTGGGAGAGGAGAAGTTGTTGTAGCGTGCGTTGTAGTGATATACGGAAGTCTGGCTCGGGGGAATCTGTTGTTGTGGTTTCTGCGTGGATATTTGGGGAAGGGGGAATCTGTTCGCGCTGTGGTCCGAGGGTATCTAGGGGGACGGGAACTTGTTCTAGCGTGCGTCGTTGTGATATAAGAAACTCCGGTTGGAGGAATTTGTTTGTGTGGTGCCGCGCGGATATCTTGGGTAGGGGGAAGCTGGTGGCGCGGTGTTCCGTTGTTCTTTTGGGAGTGGGGGGTTTGTTGTATCATGTTTTGTAGTTATATAAGAAAGTCAGGTTGGGGGAATATGTTTGTATGGTGCTGCGTAGATATCTTGGGAAGGGGGAATTTCTTCGCGCGGTGTTTCGTGGATGCCCAGGAAGAGGGGAACTTGGTGTAGCGTGTTTTGTAGTGATATGGGAATCTGGTTGGGGGAATCTGTTTGTGTGGTGTTGCGTGGACATCATGTGGAGCGTGCTTTTTTCGTGTGGATTTGGGTGGGTATCGTGGGAGAGGAGAAGTTGTTGTAGCGTGCGTTGTAGTGATATACGGAAGTCCGGTTGGGGGATGTTGTTGTGGTCCTGCGTGGATATATGGGGAAGGGGGAATCTGTTCACGCTGTGTTTCCTCGGTATCTTGGGGGAGGGGAGCTGGTTGTAGCGTTGTAGCGTGCGTCGCGGTGATATCCGAAAGTCCGTTTGGGGGAATTTGTTTGTGTGGCGCTGCACGGATATCTTGGGCACGGGGAAGCTGGTGGCGCGGTGTTCCGTTTGTTTTTTGTTGGAGAGGGGAATTTGTTGTAGCGTGTTTTGTAGTTATACAAGACAGTCTGGTAGGGGGAATATGTTTGTATGGTGCTGCGTGAATATCGTGGGAAGGGGGAATCTGTTCGTGATGTCATTCGTGGATGCCCAGGGAGAAGGGAACTTTGTGTAGCGTGCTTTGTAGTGATATGGGAATCTGCTTGGGGGAATCTGTTTGTGTGGTGTTGCGTGGACATCATGTGGAGCGTTTTTTTCCCCGTGGGTTTGGGTGGGTATTCGGGGAGAGGGGAAGTTGTTGTAGCGTGCGTTGTAGTGATATACGGAAGTCCGGTTGGGGGAATCTGTTGATTTGGTTCGCGTGGATATACGGGGAAGGGGGAATCGGTTCAAGGTGTTTTCGACGGTATCTAGGGGGAGGGGAAGTTGTTGTAGCGTGCAGCGTGGTGATATACGAAGGTCCGGTTGGGGGAATTTGTTTGTTTTGTGCTGCGGGATATCTTGGGCAGGGGGAAGTTGGTGGTGCGGTGTTCCGTTGTTCATTTGGGAATGGGGAATTTGTTGTAGCGCGTTTTGTAGTTATATAAGGAAGTCTGGTTGGGTGAATCTGTTTGTATGGGGCTGCGTGGGTATCCTGGCGAGGGGGAGTCTGTTCGCGCGGTGTGTCGTGGATGCCCAGGGAGAGGGGAACTTTGTGTAGCGTGCTTTGTAGTGATATGGGAATCTGGTTGGGGGAATCTGTTTGTGTGGTGTTGCGTGGACATCATTTGGAGCGTTTTTTTTCGTGTGGGTTTGGGTTGGTATCCTGGGAGAGGGGAAGTTGTTGTAGCGTGCGTTGTAGTGACATACGGAAGTCCGGTTGGGGGTTGTTGTGGTTCTGCGTGGGTATATGGGGAAGGGGGAATCTGTTCGCGCTGTGTTTCGAGGGTATCTTGGGGGAGGGGAATTTGTTGTAGCGTGCGTCGTGGCGATATACGAAAGTCTGGTTGTGGGAATTTGTGTGTGTGGTGCTGCGCGGGTATCTTCGGCAGGGGGATGTTGGCGGCGCCGTGTTCCGCTGTTCTTGAGGGAGTGGGGAATTCGTTGTAGCGTGTGTTGTAGTTATATAAGAAAGTCTGGTTGGGGGAATCTGTTTGTATGGTGCTGCGTGGATATTTGGGCGAGGGGGAGTCTGTTCGCGCGGTGTGTCGTGGATGCCCAGGGAGAGGGGAACTTTGTGTAGCGTGCTGTGTAGTGATATGGGAATTTGGTTGGGAGAATATGTTTGTGTGGTGCTGCGTGGACATCATGTGGAGTGTTTTTTTTTTTTTTTCGTGTGGGTTTGGGTCGGGAATCCTGGGAGAGGAGAAGTTGTTGTAGCGTGCGTTGTAGTGATATACGGAAGTCTAGCTCGGGGGAATCTGTTGTTGTGGTTCTGCGTGGATATTTGGGGAAGGGGGGATCTGTTCGCGCTGTGGTCCGAGGGTATCTAGGGGGAGGGGAACTTGTTGTAGCGTGCGTCGTTGTGGTATAAGAAAGTCCGGTTGGAGGGATTTGTTTGTGCGGTGCCGCGCGGATATCTTGGGTAGGGGGAAGCTGGTGGCGCGGTGTTCCGTTGTTCTTTTGGGAGTGGGGAATTCGTTGTAGCGTGTGCTGTAGTTATATAAGAAAGTCAGGTTGGGGGAATATGTTTGTATGGTGCTGCGTAGATATCTTGGGAAAGGGGAATTTCTTCGCGCGGTGTTTCGTGGATGCCCAGGAAGAGGGGAACTTTGTGTAGCGTGCTTTGTATTGATATGGGGATCTGGTTTGGGGAATATTTCTGTGTGGTGTGGCGTGGACATCAAGCTGAGCGTGCTTTTTTCGTGTGGATTTGGGTGGGTATCCTGGGAGAGGAGAAGTTGTTGTAGCGTGCGTTGTAGTGATATACGGAAGTCTGGTTGGGGGTATATGTGGTTGTGGTCCTGCGTGGGTATATGGGGAAAGGGAAATCAGTTCGCGCGGTGTTTCCTTTGTATTTTGGGGGAGGGGAGCTTGTTGTAGCGTTGTAGCGTGCGTCGCGGTGATATCCGAAAGTCCGGTTGGGGGAATTTGCTTGTGTGGCGCTGCAGGGATATCTTGGGCAGGGGGAAGCTGGTGGCGCGGTGTTCCGTTTTTTTTTTGTTGGGGAGGGGAATTTGTTGTAGCGTGTTTTGTAGTTATGTAAGAAAGTCAGGTTGGGGGAATATGTTTGTATGGTGCTGCGTGGATATCCTGGGAAGGGGGAATTTGTTCGCGCGGTGTTTCGTGGATGCCCAGGGAGAGGGGAACTTTTTGTGGCGTGCTTTGTAGTGAGATGGGAATCTGGTTGGGGGAATCTGTCTGTGTGGTGTTGCGTGGACATCATGTGGAACGTTTGTTTTCGTGTGGGTTTGGGTGGGTATCCTCGGAGAGGGGAAATTGTTGTAGCGTGCGTTGTAGCGATATACGGAAGTCCGGTTGGGGGACCCGTCGTTGTGGTCCTGCGTGGATACATGGGGAAGGGGGAATCTGTTCGCGCTGTGTTTCGAGGGTATCTTGGGGGAGGTGAACTTGTTGTAGCGTGCATCGTGGTGATATACGAAAGTCCGGTTGGGGGAATTTGTTTGTTTGGTGCTGCGCGGATATCTTGGGCAGGGGGAAGCTGGTGGCGCGGTGTTCCGTTGTTCATGTGGGAGTGGGGAATTTGTTGTAGCGTGTTTTGTAGTTATATACGAAAGTCTGGTTGGGGGAATCTGTTTGTATGGTGCTGCGTGGATATGCTTGGGAGGGGGAGTCTGTTCGCGCGGTGTGTCGTGGATGCCCAGGGAGAGGGGAACTTTGTGTAGCGTGCTTAGTAGTTATATGGGAATCTGGTTTGGGGAATATGTTTGTGTGGTGTTGCGTGGACATCATGTGGAGCGTTTTTTTTTTTTTTTCCGTGTGGGTTTGGGTGGGTATGCTGGGAGAGGGTAAGTTGTTGTAGCGTGCGTTGTAGTGATATACGGAAGTCTGGTTGGGGGAATATGTTGTTGTGGTTCTGCGTGGATATATGGGGAAGGGATAATCTGTTCGCGCTGTGTTTCGAGGGTATCTTGGGGGAGGGGAATGTGTTGTAGCGTGCGTCGTGGCGATATACGAAAGTCCGGTTGTGGGAATTTGTTTGTGTGGTGCTGCGCGGGTATCTTGGGCAGGGGGATGTTTGCGGCGCCGTGTTCCGCTGCTCTCGTGGGAGTGGGGAATTCGTTGTAGCGTGTGTTGTAGTTATATAAGAAAGTCTGGTTGGGGGAATCTGTGTGTATGGTGCTGCGTGGATATCCTGGGAAGGGGGAATCTGTTCGCGCGGTGTTTCGTAGATGCCCAGGGAGAGGGGAACTTTGTGTAGCGTGCTTTGTAGTGGTATGGGAATCTGGTTGGGGGAATCTGTTTGTGTGGTGTTGCGTGGACATCATGTGGAGCGGGTTTGTTTCGTGTGGGTTCGCGTGGGTATTCTGGGTGATGAAAAGTTGTTGTAGCGTGCGTTGTTGTGATATACGGAAGTATGGTTCGGGGGAATCTGTTGTTGTGGTTCTGCGTGGATGTATGGGAAAGGGGGCATATTTTCGCGCTGTGTTTCGAGGGTATCTTGGGGGAGGGGAACTTGTTGTAGCGTGCGTCGTGGTGTTATAAGAAAGTCCAGTTGGGGGAATTTGTGTGTGTGGTGTTGCGCGGATATTTTGGGCCGGGGGACGCTGGTGGCGCGGTGTTCCGTTGTTCTTTTCGGAGTGGGGAATTTGTTTTAGCGTGGTTTGTACTTGTATAAGAAAGTCTCCTTGGGGAATAGGTTTTTTATGGTGCTGCGTGGATATCCCGGGAAGGGGGAATTTGTTCGCGTGGTTTTCTCGAGGATGCCCAGGGAGAGGTGAACTTTGTGTAGCGTGTTTTTTAGTGACACGGGCTTCTGTTTGGGGGAATCTATTTGAGTTGTGTTGCGTGGACATCATGTGGAGCGGGCTTTTTTCGGGTGTCTTTGGGTGGGTGTCCTGGAAGAGGGGAAGTTGTTGTAGCGTGCGTTGTGGTGATATACGGAAGTCTGATTGGGGGAATATGTTTGTTCGGTGCTGCGTGGACATTATGGGGTGCATTTTTGTCCGTGTGTTTTTTGGTGGGCTTCCTGGGAGTGGTGAATTTGTTGTAGCGATTTGGTTGCGTGGTGTTTCGTGAGTATCCTGGGAGAGGGCAATATGTTCTCGTGGTGTTTCGTGAGGATCCTGGGAGAGGGGAATTTGTTGTAGCGTGCAGTTGTTGGGTACACGAAATTGTAGTTGCGTGGTAGTGATACACGAGAGTCCGGTCGGGAAAGGTCCGAGAGCGAATTGGTGGCTCCAGCCTGGCAGGTATGACGAAGGGGAAGTGTTTTCGCCAGGTCGCCGCGTTCCGCTTTCCGCTGTGAGTGTAGCGTCCAGATGCCACGCTCCGCAGGTCATGGGTCATAGCGTCGCGGAAAGTCATGCAAATCCTTTAAGCGTGAGCGATGATCGTTCGCAATCTTGGGGTTGACGAGGGGGAATTTGTTTTTCTGTCCTTTTAAGGAGACACACAAATTCCCCCCCCCCATCGGTTCACTTTGGCTGACATTATGTCGCCGCAGAAGGGAAGAGGGGAAGGGAGGCTGGGATAGGACGAAGGAGAAAGTCCAGGAGGGTAGGGATACCGGGACGGGTGGAAGGAGACCGGGACGGGTGGAGGGGAAGGGAGGCTGATGGACCCCGGCAGGGGTGGGGATCGACTTTCAACGGATTTCGTTGATTTTGACTAAGAAGGTTGACGTCCAGGTTTGACCTTCGAGCCTCGACGTTCGAGGTTCGCGGCTTTCTGGCCTTTTGGGGGCTCTCCTCGTCGTTGCAGCCTGGCGCAGGTCGAAAAACTGGTGCGTTCGGACCACGGGAGACCTCAGATCTGGAAAAGACTTCAAGAGCAGAGGGGAACGATGAGGTACTGAACATGACAGGTCCACGAAACATTGCCGTACCATCGGGAATTAGAGGCCGCCTTGAATTCTTGACGCTTCGCGTATCTCCACCAGCTCATCCAGGAACGATGGCCAGGAGAGCTGACGGGAGATCGTTGACTTGGGAGATCTCTGGTAGCGAACGTTGAATTGGGTGATCTCTGGTAGCGAAGGGTGCGGGTGTTGCTGCTGGTGCCCCTGCGTTTTATTTCAGGAGAAGCTCGTTAGGGCGCTGCCGGGCAAAAGGATTCTTCCCTTCCCCCGGATTGGCCAGAGGTTGCCGGGGGTGTCTCGCCGTCGTGTCCCGATGGTGTCGCGCGGTGCCTCCTCTGTCTTCGATCCTCGAAATTTGCGCCGAACATCGAGCATATTGGAGACTGCAGCGGGGTGAAGAGCGAGAGAGCCAGGGAGATTCACATTGAGATGCATAGTGGCCTGCATGTTAACATGGATAGTGCGATGGATGGTGAGATAGATTCCGAGATCGGGCTTGAGGTACACCTGGATTTTTATTGTAATCTTACGTGCACTTGTAAGGCCAGTTCGAGCCAGAGGCGATATTATAATAGGGTCGTCATTGGAGGGGGTCATGGGGTTGTCTTGGGGTTTTATTGCGGGCTTATCGGACGCTCGGGAGGGCCTCTTGAGACTACGTCTTCGAGGCAATTGGTCAGTAAGGGCGGGTCTCCGATGTCGCTCTCCCGTAGGAGCCCTCAAGACCTCCTCCTGGGGCCTTTCTGGAGGGCCTTTCGGTCCTCTGGCGATCGTGTTGAGAAGGCCTTCGGGCTGTGTTGGGGCAATTGTGGGGCCCTTTCGCGTCTTATTATAGGGGAAGCTTCTCCTATAGCACTTTGGGGTTCAAGGTGTTGCTGTGTAGTATCCGTACACCTCAACCTGCACAAATGAACACGTCCCTCGACTTCGCCGGGGTGTTGGCTGGAATGATCGACGGGCAGGGGCGCGATGACCAAGCTCTGCAAGCAGGCGTGGCTCTCCTCAAGCAGGTCCCGAAGAGCATGATGTTGGAGGCTGATGTGAAATGCCCTCAGGATGAAAGCTTGGATGCATACGAGGCCTGGCAGAGCGCCATCGACAAGATGCAGCGGTATTTGGAAGACTCCAACACCTTCACGCTGGTCCCGGAGACTCAGACTCCAGAGATCGTTGCCAGGTTGATCTTGCACGCGAAAGTTGCACCGGTATCTGATCGGCGTCGTTGTCGTGAGTGGGTGGAGGATAACATGCCAGCTACGTTGAAGGGAGGCTTGAAGAAGGCAATTCCTTTGCCATCCGGCCGTGAGGTGCGCATGACGTTCCTGGGCATCACGAACACCGCCTTCGACGCCGCTGTGACGCCGGCTCTGGAGGAGCTGGGCCGGGTCCAGAAGTTCTCGACGGCGGAGTCAGCAAACATCGTGAAAAACGACCGTGAACTGAGGAATTCGAAGGCGGCGGCGGCAGCAGCCGTGGGTGACGTTGGCGGGACGAAGTCATTGCTTACCCGCGCTCTCGACATGGCGGGGGAGGGAGGCCGTGCGTCGAAGAAACGCCGCATGGCGCAGATGGTGGTGCGGACTTTGGATCTATCGCAGCGTGTGGCGGCGTCGGGCCTCCGCGAGGCTAAGGAGCAGCCGGACTCGGACACCGAGTGAGCAGTCTGAGCTCAGAAAGCAGAAGCCGACGCATTTTCGCAGCCTGGGGCAAGGGCGTCATTTGCAGCAGCCCTGGCGCACTCGTCCGCTTTGCGCGCGCGGGCGTCTGTAGCGTTGTCTTCTCTCTGTCGCAGCTAGCATGTCGCGGCTTGCGACCAAATCGATTGATCTCATGAGTCATGAGGCCCGCACGCGACCAATACGGCGCCTGTGCGAGAAAGGCCTCACTCTGTAACGTTAGGCATCGGTCTGCGCGGGGCGGCCCGCCCATCGCCCTCATTATATCCTTCTTCTTCCGCGTTGGGGCCCGCCCCCTCTTACATGAACCCTTACCACCCATCGCGCCCCTATCCTTCCGCCTGGAGCGCTTGCAGGAAAGCTCGGCCATGATAGTGACTCTGGGCGCATCGCGACTGCGCTCTGTCGAATAGACGGAGCTTGTTTCGAGGAGACCCGTCGTTCCCGACACTCACGGTGCGGGCGAAGGGGCCACAAACAAATCGTTACTCTCTGAGGGAGCGCGTTGAGGAGCGTGAGGAGTTAACTGGAACAGGTTGGCCGTGTGCGGGGCAAGGGACTTCGGCCTGGGGGGTGGGCGATCAGGGAGGTCGCTCCCGCTTTCTCCGCTCGAGCGCCCTTCCCCTCTCCGCAGACATTTGGCTTGTGAGCTCGCGGTCCGTTTCCCGCGACCGCTGTCGACAGCGCTCCCTGCGCCGTCTCAGGATGGCCGTGCCCCCGCAGATGGTTCGGCGCCAGCGCCCTCGCGTGGAGCCCGGGGTAGGCGCTCCAACGCGGGTGAGCGAGCAAGTGCCAGAAACCACGGGGCCAGTGTCACCTACCCACATGGTCTCGGACCTCACCGCGACCTCCGTGCCGGACATGGTGCTGCGTCTGCTGAAGTTCTACACTCCCTGGAAGTCGGCGAAGGGCACCAAGGGCATCCGCAAGGTGAAGTGCATCGACGCCGACGGGAAGGAGATAGCGCTCAAGTCGTTCGACTCGAAGGCCGTTTCAGTGTTTTCCTGGGGACAAGAGGGCGACAACATTCTCGTCAACGGTTTGGAGGCGTCGAAGTGGGGCGACGAGATTGATCTGATCGTTCGGGCCGACTCGAACATCAAGCGGGTGCGGCCGGAGCACATGAATGGTTGCCGCGAGCCGGCGCAAGACACCTTCGTGGTGGACGCGCTGGGGGACGGGGCAGCAGACGGGGAGCTGGTGAACGTCTTCGGCAAGATCGTGTCGTGCACTCCTGTTGGGGCCACCGACCAGGAGAAGCCGCGGCGCCTGATGTCCATCGTGCTGGAGGACGATGCCGGGCGCGGCCGCATTCGGCTCTGGGACGAGGTGGCGGACTCTGCAACGAAGCTGGTGAAGGTCGGCAATCACTTCCTCGTGCGCGGGGTGAGGGGCAAGAACGGCGTGTACCACGGTTTCCCCGGCACCGCCATCGCGTGCGCCGCGCCGCCGGGGTGGGCACTGGACCCGGGCCTTCAAATCTTTTGGGGTAGGGGAGGCATCGATAGACGAGGTATGTTAGTGTCACCAGGGGGCTTGGATGGGTGTGGGGGGGGGGGGGGGGGGGGGGGACTGGGGGCGGGGGCGTCGCTCTCTCCGCTAGGACAGCGCTGCGGCGATCCCAGGCGCCGAAGGGGGGTCAGGCGGCCAGAGCAGCAGGAGCGGCGGGCCGCACGAACCTGTGCCGGCGCCGCAGCAGCCCGCGGGGCCGGAGCTTCCGCCATCGGAGGTGCGCGCTGTGGCGGCAATCCGAGAGCAGATTGCCATTGTGCAGGGGCGCATTCCGCACACGCCCGTGGCCGAGCTCCCGACGCTCATCGGGACTCTGACGGCGTTGTACCAGGACTTGGAGAATGCGGGCAGCACGCCGGCGATTCCAGGCGCGCCAGCCGCAGGCGCGGCGGCGGGGCTCCCTGCCGGAACACCCCCCTCCGGCCCAGCAGCCGTCGCAGCTGACAACGCGCGTGCTGAGGGGCGGGCGCCAGAGCCGCGCGGAGACGAAGACGCGGGAGGTGATCGTTCCGCCGCGGTGGGAGGGCCGCCCGTCGACTCGGCGCCCAGTGCAGCGCCCGCGGAGGAACCGGCGTCCCCGGCTGACGCATCGGAGGATCCAGGCGGGGTCGGCGGCCGCGTGTCCGGTGGCGGGGTCGAAGATGCAGTTCGCGCGGAGGACGAGTGAAGCGCGTAAGCTTTCTGGGACAGGCGGGACAGAGAGGGAAGGTGAGTTGGTGCGATAGGGGAGGGGAGTATGGGGGCAGGGTTTGGGCGGGCTGCGTAGCGAGCACTTTCCTCTGGCTCCGCGCCCTATGTATGGGCGCTGCAGAAGAGGCGGCGACGAACGCGTTGCTCAGAAAACTCTCATGGGCAGCGCGTGTTGTTTTTTACCCGACGGGGAGACCCCGTTGCGGGCGCCAGCAGGAGGAACTTTGAAGCACGTCGCTTGTCTTCCTCGCCCGGGCGCTTCCGTGTACAGCCGTTACCGTTATTTGTTCCAGCTTCCGCTCTAATCGGTTAATCTTACCGGGGCCGCACGCGGCCAACACGGCGCCTGTGCGAGAAACGCCCGCAATCTGTAACATTAGGCATCGATCCTTAGACATCGCCGCTCAAATCGGTTAATCTTACCGGCGCCTGCGCGCGGACTTTAAATACTTCAGGCCCGCGCGCGGGCTCGGAATATCCCTGCGCTGGAGCCCCCTCCCCTCTTACATGAGCCCTTACTACCTTTCACGCTCTCATCCTCAAGCCTGGAGCGCCTGCAGGCAGCTCGGCCATGCCAGTGACTCTGGGCACAGTGACCACTTGACCAGACCTGTCGGACCCGAGACTCACGGAGTAGGGGAACAGGTCGGAGTCGTGTCTTGGGGGGACTTGGCGTGCTGAGGGCTCCCGAAGATTTAACGTCAGGAGTAGGAGGAGGATCGGTCCTCGATCCTCGATCGTGGGTCCGATGGCCCCCGGAGGCCTCCGACCTTATCTTCAGTATCGATATCGCGCCTTGGGTTGGTTTGTGAAGGCCCCTGGGGCCCGAAATGGGCCTTGGAACCCGCAGGCGAGGTGTCGGAAGCCACGAAGAGTCTATGGCAAAGCAAATGTATCGGAGGGCCGCGGGGGACTTCCGGGGACATTCGGGGATTTCCTTGAGTCCCTTTCCAGCTCCTCGCCCTGCTGCTTCTCGCCCTCCTCCCCCTCCTCCTCCTCTCGCCTTCTCCCCCCTTGTACCTCTCTCTTTGCTTCCGTCATCTCGGTGTTTTGTCCACCCGCTGCTTCCCCCTTCCGCCTCGTCGTCTTGGGGCCTCTGAGGGGCCTCTTGGTACCTCCTGGGGGGTTCTTAGGGCCGAGGGCTCGAAATGTTGTTCCGTGTTCCCCCCCCCTGGGGCCCCTCTTGGGGCGTTCTTGGGGCTCTCTTGGGCCGTCTTGGAGGCCTCTTGGGCCGTCTTAGAGCCGTCTTGGGCCGTCTTGGAGCCTTTTTGGGGGCCTCTTGGGCCCTCTTGAGGCGGTCTTGAGGGCCTCTTGGGCCGTCTTGGGGCGTCGGGAAGCCGAAAAGGTAGAAGCACCAAAATCTGACCAAAACCTCAGGGAAAGCAATGAAGTTTGCCTTTTGGGGCCCTCTTGGGAGTGCTCTGGGAGGCCTCTCCGGGCGTCTGGGGGCCATCTTGGACGTCTTGGAGCGATCTTGTGGCATCTCGGACCCCTCGTGTACCATCGTGGGGGCCTCTTGGGGGCGTCTTGGTCCTTCTTGGGGCTTTCTGGAGGGCTCGAGGGCGGCTCCCAGGAGGTAAACCATCTCTTATCCGAGTCTGCCAGGGATCGCCTGGGGTATTTTTCCTCAGGGGACCCCCAGGGGCCGCCCCGCGCGCGCGAAGTAGAAATATTGTAAAGCAGTTACCGGAGATCTTCTTGGGCTCAAAGAGTCTCGATCGCAGGGCTTCAAAGAGTCTCGATCGCAAGTGTGCCAGTCGGGTACGATAGCGTGCGTAGTATAGGATAGCCCATGGTAAGATCACGTGGTTTCTCTATCCGTCATCATGGATCCGTTTCGACGCGTTCTGTAGGTCTATGTTCAGTCGCGTGCTTCTGGTCCAGACGTCTTGTCATCAGCCCAAGGCTTCCTGATACTCCCGGTGTTCCCACAGGTGTAGGTCCCCTGGATGGTCCACCGTGATCTCCGAGCTGCCTCTTTTTTTCAGTCTCGCTCGCCATCCGTACGCCCTTTCATTTTTAGCAGTGTTGAAGGGGGATGAGAATGCGGAAGATGAACAGGAGCATGAGGTAGACGTCGAAGCGTGGTGGGGAGGGGAGGAATGGCGAGTGGAAGTGAGGACGGCGAGGGGGGTAACAGGAACGCCATTTGGTGGACATAATGCGGAGGAGACGGACGAGGAGTGGGGAACAGTTTACTTATCGACGGCGCGCTCTCAAGCCATCAGTGGCTGCTCACTGCTTCTGTCGGGAACTTGCCCCGGACCGAGGGCGCGAACGCCGGTGGAAGCCATGGCGAAACGGTTGCCGACTTACCGTGAAAGTCGTGGGGTGCCGACTGTCCGTATCAGTCGTGGGGTGCCGACTTCCCGTAAAGTCGTGGGCTGCCGACTTGCCGTAAAGTCGAGGTGCCGATTGGCACTTAGCGGGTATAACCCGTGCCCTCCGGGGCGTCCCCGAAAGGGGTTATCTGGTCGAATTTGGTTGTCAGTTGGTGCTGGTGGGCGTTGTTGCGGTGATGGTTTACCGGGAGTCTCCGCCGTCGTGGTGGACCTTCCGGTGGCGGTGGTCGTGGCGTCTGCGGTGCTGCCGCCGTGAGCCGCCGTCTTAAGGGCGTTGCTGTTTGCCTTTGTCGTGGTGGCATTGCGGGTTGTCTCTCGGGTGTTGGGTGTAGTGCTCGTGTCGGCTTCTCTTGGCGCGGAGTCGTTGGCTGCCGCTATCGTGGTGGTGGGGCAGCGGGGTCGCGCCGTCGTGCGGGCGGTGATTGTGGTCACAATCGCGGTGGTCGCACTGGTGCCGCGTGCGCCTACCATCGTTGTGGTGGAGGTGGCGTTCGCGGTCGCCTTGGCGGGAACGCCGCCAGTCGCAGACGGGGTGCTCGTTCGAATTCAGCTGCCGTGTGCCGTACTATTGGCCGCGGGTTTTTTGTCGGCTTTCCGACTGGCGCTGCCGGTCGCCGCCGCGGTTGCGGTGATGACGTTGCTGTCTCGTGCTGTTGTGATGGTGGTGGTGATCCCAGGCGCGGTTGTCCTTCAGGCTCTCTCTCGGGGTGCTGTTGTGGTGGTGGGTGCCAGTGCCCTGGCGACGGTTTCTCGTTCAGAACGCCTTGTCGTTGTCACTGGCAGGTGCTGTGGTCTGCTAAGGTTTCCCTGCATCAATGGCTCCTGAATCGCACGCCGTGTTTCGACGGTCGACGTGGCCGTGGGAGTGCATATCGCAGTCGTGTTTCTCGATGTGGTGCTGCTGCTGGCCGCTGTTTTGGCGGTGGTGGGGCCGTTTGTTGTCGACGTTGTGCCATCGTTTGCGGTAGCCGCAATTGTGATTTTCGGGGTGGTGAGGCGTCCGGCCAGAGTCGCGCTAGTCCGAATTGTAATCGTCGTGTTGCTGTTGGCTGCCGCCACTGTGGCGCTACAGTTTGTCGCGCTCGTGCCGCTCGTTATGGGCTTGCTATTGTCTTCCACTGCGGCGGCGGTGCAGGCCGCAATAGGTGTCGTGATGGCGCTGTTGGTCGCAGTTATGAACGTCGGTGTGCTGGTCGGCGTGGTGGTGTTCGTAGTAGGTTTGGTTTTGGCCGTACTTGTGGGATTGTTGTCGCTCACGGTCGTTTTGGCGACGCTGGCGTTTGCAGTCGACAGGGTGGCGCAGTCGTTCGCATTTGGCATGGCGGTGATGCCTGCGGTCGTGTCGAGCAGGTCTGGATTGCTGCCATCGGTCGTTGTAGAGGGTGCGTTGTCCGGTGCTACCATAGCATTGGTGTTGGCCACGCGTGTTTGTGGGTTTCTGTTCGCTGTGACGTTGCAGCTGCCCATCGTCAAACAGGTGGCGGTGTTCCCGGTCGCCGCTGTGGAAGTGCTGCTAGTCACAGTCGCTGTGGCGGAGTGGATGTACCCGCGGGCTACAAATTCCTCGTCTCTGGCCCCGCGCGTGCAGGAGTGTGTCGCTATCGAAGGTTTTCCAAAACGGCTTACGAGCGGCAGCGGGAGCTGAATGTTGCAATGGTGAACAGTCGCGTGGACGCGGGCGCAGTGGATTTACCCGCGGGCTACAAATTCCCCGCCCCGCGCACGCACGCGCATGGTTGCGGAGTCGCAGTGGAACTCCTGGAGGATGCCCGAGGCAGTCGGACAGGGGAAGGCACGTGCGCTTCGCGCGGCGTGTGCTGTTGTTGCATCCTGGTTACCGCGGTGTCGATGGGCGATGATTGTGCGCAACATGCGCGCGGGGGAATGGACCTTGAAGTTCGCTGGGAACGTCTCGTGACCCACGAGCTGCGGAACATAGGTTGGAAGGTATGCGCCGCGTACCCGGTCGAGTGGACCATGGTGGCACCATTCTGGACTCTTGAGGACGGCCGTACGTTCCTGAATGTGCAGTGTTGCCAATTCTCGCAGTTTTCTGGCAAAGTGTGGCCGCACTTTTATTCAAATACTCTGGGTTGTGCATGCGAAACGGTTCGTGGTGATGATCTCTGCCGCTGTTTTTCGGTTGGAGCTGCCCGCTGCCTCTGCCGTGGCACCACTGTGGGCTGCGATCGACGCACTCATGTTTTGGGCATGTACTGTCGTGGCGGCCCGTCCGGTGTTAGCTTTGATATTCGTGGAGGGTTCCACGGCGTGGTGGAGAACCCAGTGCTCGCAGTTTTGCGCTTGTGTGACATGTTGGGGTCCTGCACTGCGCGGAATGCGCTGGAGCTGTGGCAACGTGGGGTACACTGTAGGACTGTCCAAAGCTGCGTGGCATTGACAACCGAGGTGTTGCGACAGGCCTCGGCCGAAGCTGGGGTGTGCTTGCGCGCCACATGGAGTGCAGCCGCGCACGCGTGGCCGTTGTTTCCGCCAAACACAGCGACGCTCCCGCAGCAGTCGGGCGGGGGCGCCGGGCGGGGGAGCGGGCGCGTCGTGCTCGCGGCGGCGTCGCCGTTGAGGCGGTTGGCGAATCCAGAAAATTATTGTTGGATAAACGCAGCGATCCAAGGGATATTGGCGCCGGAAGTCGTGAGGGCAGTCGT